GAAAGAGAGAGAGCCAGAAACGTCAGTGAGAGAGAAACATCGACCAGCCGCCTCCTGCACACCCCCCACCGGGGATGTGCCCGCAACCAACGTACATGCCCTTGACCGGAATAGAACCCAGGACCTTTCAGTCCACAGACCGACGCTCTATCACTGAGCCAAACCAGTTTTGGCTTACCATAGCCTCTTAATTGGTGGCTTTGACAGTTTTCCTTTACTCCAGTACTAGCTGTTAGAGTTATCTTTCTTTTTTAAAAAATATTTTTTATTGATTTTTTACAGAGAGGAAGGGAGAGAGAGAGTTAGAAGCATCGATGGATGAGAAACATCGATTAGCTGCCTCCTGCACACCCCCCACTGGGGATGTGCCCACAACCAAGTTACATGCCCTTGACCGGAATCAAACTTGGGACCTTTCAGTCCGCAGGCTGACTCTCTATCCACTGAGCCAAACCGGTTTCGGCTAGAGTTATCTTTCCAAAGTGTAAATTGTTTCATGCTATTCCCTTAATTAAAAACATTTCATTGACATTGCATATCCTTTAACATAAGGACACATCATTTCTGTGGTATTCTAATCATGAGAAAACACCAGATGAGCCCTGCTGAGTAGCACCATATGAAAAAAAAAAAAAAAAAAAAAAAAAAAGATGAGTACTTTCCCAAAGTGTCAAGATCATGAAAGAAAAAGAAAGACTGAAGAGATATCCCAGGCAGACACAGAAAACCAAGGGAGATGATGACTAAATAGAATGCCAGACCTTAGATTGACTTCTGGAACGATAGAACATTAGGAAAACTTGTGAAATGCATACAAATTCTGTAGCTTAGTTAATGCTACTCTACCAACTTCTTAATTTTGACCATTGTACTATCATTTATGCAAGATGTTAACATTAGAAAAAGCTGAATGAAGAGAAGATGAAAACTCTCTGTAATACTCTTGCAAGATTTCTGAAGTCTAAAATTATTTCAAAAGGTGAATGGAGCCTGGCAGTGTGGCTCAGTCGTTGAGCATCAACCTATATATACCAGGAAGTCATGGTTCAAATGCCCAGTCAGGGTACATGCCCAGATTGTGGGGTCAGTCCCCAGAGAGGGAGAGGGGACATGCAGGAGGTAGTTGATCAATGATTCTCTCTCATCATTAATGTTTCTATCTCTCTCTTCCTCTCTGAAATAAATACAAATATATATTTTTTTAAAATTTTAAGGTGAATGGAAAAGATCAGGGGGGGAAATGCCATTGCATCAAATTTTAACCAACTATATAAGCTTAATGGAGAGGGAGATAGAATGGAAGGATAGCACTGAGAGAAGGAGGGAGAGAAAGGAGAAGGGATGGGGGAAAGAGAGAAAATGAGTATATGCCTGGCAGGTAACGTGGAGAAGATGTATATTTACAAGATCTCCTATCAGCTCCCTAAATACACAATAGTATGAGCACTCCACAATGTTAAATGTGGTTTGACTATTTTAAATATGCAAGCCAGTTACTTCATCTGGTGCTCAGCTGAAAAATGTGTTCTGTTCCAACACTAGAAAACTGTGCTGATTTTTTTAAATGTGACAGAGAATGCCTCCTAATTTTCATCTGCCCCTTCTTTTTTAGCAATAAAAATTCTAGTTTTTGGGTTGAAACATTGTCACCCAGCTAAAAGAAATTTGAGTTTCTCTATTTATTTGATAAAGAGTATAATGAGATTATGAAATCCAGAGGTGAATTATGGTATCAGCAAGTACATTTCTAATTAAAAAAATGTAAAGATCTTAATATTTGTGATTATAAACAAAGCACCACAATAGCATCATGTGACAAATCATGGCTGCTGGACTTCTCATACTTATTTCACAATTTTTTTTCTTATTTTACAATTTAATAGTCTTATTTTGAATCACATATGATGAGAGAGGTGAGATACTATAGTCCTTCAGTACTTAGAATCTGTAATCATCTTTATATAGCCTACTGATGAAAATCATAGGATAAAAGAGAGGCTTGTAGGGTTGGGGTATTTCGGAAGAAGAAACCTACTCTCCTTATATATTTCTTTGTAATTTTGGCTACAATCTTTGTCATCTCTTTTGTTTTGTTGTTTATTCAGGAAGGAAGTGAGAGGGAGAGAAAGAAACATCAGTGATGAGAGAGAATCATTGATTTGCTGCCTCCTGCAAGCCCCCTACTGGGAATAGAGCCCAGCAACCGAGTATGAGCCCTTGACCAGAATTGAACCCGGGACCCTTCAGTCAGCAGGCTGATAATCTATCCACTAAGCTGAACTGGCTAGTGCTGTCAACTCTTTTGATTCTTCTCTTTAGTTATTCTCTATATTCAACTCTGTTTTTTCTTCCTTAGAAAATACCATCTGGATTTACCTTAATCTCTTCCTTTCACTATTACTGGCTAGCATAAACCTTTATCACACCATTTCAGAATTATTTGAACAACCTCCTCATCTGGTCTTCCTGACAACATTTTGTCCCCTGGCTTTTGTCTGATTAAGCGTTTTATAGTACTACTTATATCATATCACACTGCTGCTTCAGAATTAAAATGAATCTCCTTAGCTTAGTTATTCACCCAAACTTTTCTAATTTTTTAAAATTCTAACAATTTTATACCATCTGAATCAGTAAAATGTTCCCTTCCCCCCTCCCCCCCTTCTTCATATGGGTTATAATCAGATTGGTCTTTGCCTTCCTCTCCACCTGGCTTATGTTATTACTCCCAGACTACATCAAAAATTGCTGTGCTTTCCTGTCCAGAATAGACTTTACCTTTTGGTAGCATTACTCAAAATTTCCTTTGGAAACCATTAAACCCTTATCTTCACTCCACAGTTTAGATGGACATGTGACCTAAACCTGTCTAATCAGAGAACCACAGCTCTTTGGTCACAACCATCAGTTCAATGAAGGGCACACAACTCAAGTTCTTGGTCCAATGAGAGTTCTCAAGGGCTTTGAGGAGTTTTAGAAAAAGAATAGTGCTCTTTTAGCGCTACTAGAAATAGCACCTGACAGATTTTTGATGATATAATTTGAGCTTCTAGATTTACCTATGTATGATCTTTTCAGTAGTAAGAAACAATAAATCCTTTTCCCTCCCCCACTTTTGTCTTATACCAATTTGAATTGGTTTGCAAAGAATACTCCCACATCTTTGCCTCTTCAATTAAAGTCATCCTTAGAAATTTAGCTTTGCCGAGACCGGTTTGGCTCAATGGATAGAGCATCGGCTTGGGGACTGAAAGGTCCCGGATTCGATTCTGGTCAAGGGCATATACATTGGTTGTGGGCACATCCCCAGTAGGAGGTGTGCAAGAGGCAGCTGATCGATGACGCTCTCTCATTGATGTTTCTAACTATCTCTCTCCCTTCCTCTCTGTACAAAAATCAAAAAAAAAAAAAAATATATATATATATGAAATTTAGCTTTATGACACTTTTAAACAATTCTCCCTTTTCTTAATTCCCATTACAGTTTACTTAATCCATACTATTTTAACACCAAATCTTCTCAGTTGTTTAATGTTTTCTACTTTTGCTTCCCTGTTGTACCACGAGCTTCTTGAAGGCTTGGATCCTGAATTACATTACTCTTGTGTTCAGAGTACTTTAGAATTTTTCACACGTAAGATACAGATTGACTGGTAAATTCTTGGATAAGTTACTTTTCTTTAGGAAGTCAATGGTTAGAATCTTAAGAATAAATGAAGTCTGGACAATCTGTTGCTGATCAGAGTTCAGCTGTTTTGTTAATTTAATTCCCATCTTACTGATTTGAAAACAAAGATAGCAGGAAAGGGAAATTATATTAGTGACTATGCTATAAAATCACCCTTCTAGGGCATATGGAGGAGTCTGATAATAACATTAATTACACTTTTGGGGCATTGGAAGGGCCATTCTGGGAAGCGAAGAGGAGGGGAGGAGAAGAAAGGAAAGGAAAGGGGAGGGAAGGGGATGAAAAGCGGGGGAGGACAGGGCTGGGCCGGGCCGGCCGAGCTGGGTCTGTGTAAGTGTCTGATGAAGAAGGTGGCTGTGGCTTCCGGCTTGGTCTGTTTGCATATGAAAGGTTCCCGGGATTTGTTTGCTCTCTCTAGGAATTAGCTAGCCCTGGGCGAAGCAGTCTCTTCCCAGTAGTAGAAATCTTGGGTGGCAGAGCATCAAGAATACAGAAAATAAGAAAATACAGTGAATATACTTATCTATTTCCCACCTAGATGCCGGTGCATCGTTAGGGGCCACGATTAGGTGTTAGTGTCTCGCCAACGGTGAGGCATGGGGGCCCTTGTGCACGTTGACGGTCTTCCAAAGGCAGGTGCACCACTTAGAGTTAGGTTCCTGCATTTCCCTCCGCTGCCATCACCAGTCAGGGCCCGATTAGGATTTTCACAGGCCCCTAGACCCTTCTCCCCTTGTGTAATTAAAAGGAGAAATTCATTTATGACATGAATGAAAACTTAAATTAGGGTGAATTCAAGACCTTCCTTCCAGACTTTGTGAAATATAAATTCCGAATAAACTCATCAAAGCTTCACTTTTTTTTTTTTTTTTTTTTTTTTTGTCCTGCTTTTCCCTCCGCTAGTATTTGAGCTTCTAGAACTCCACCACGCACGAGGCCGCTGGCTGGCAGGTGTCAGGTCCGCGCCCCCAGGGAATTCCTCCCTCGCCCCGCCCACCTGGCCCTCTGCCCCGCCCCCCTGTGCGTGTCGTCGTGACGTCAGGCGCCGTCGCCCAAGGTCGGCAGCCAATGAGCGCAGGCGGCCGCGGCCTTCCGACGCACCCTCGCCTGGTCCTGCGCGCCGGGTCCCGGAGCCGGGAAGACACGGCGGCTCCCCGCGCGCGGCAGGACGCTGGAGGCCGGAGGCGGCCGGCGGAGGCGGAGGCGGAGCGCGCCGCGAGCAGGGGGCGTGACGGGAGGAAGCCGCCCAGCCGCCACCACGCTTTCCTTCGCGGCGAGACGCAAGAGAGCCAGGCTGCGGGCCGCGGCCGCGATGCAGCGACGGCGGCGCCTCTCGCCGCCCGCCTCCCGGCTGCGGGAGGACGGCGGGGGCGGCGGCGGCGGCCGCGGGGGTCGCGACGGGAGCGGGGAGGTGGAAGTGCAGTTCTCCGCCGGGCGCCTGGGCTCGGTCGCGGTGGACTCGGTCGCGGTGGACTCGGCGGCGGCGGCGGCGGCGGACACGCGCCCCACGGAGGAGGAGGAAGAGAGGCTGGAGCGCGAGCACTTCTGGAAGATCATCAATGCCTTCCGCTACTACGGGTAAGGAGCCCGTGGCGGACCCCGGCCCGGCCCGGCCCGGCCCGTCCGGGCGCCCGCCCTCCCCCCATCCCCCGGCCGCCACGCCTCCGGGATCCCCGGCCCAGGCCGCCTGAGCTGACCCCCGAGTCGTCCTCCCCCGTCCCGGCGGCCCTGCTCACCGCCTTCTGACCTCAGCATCAGCTTAGCTCTCCTGCCTTCCGTCCCGCGTGAGAGGGTTGGCTTTGAGGCCCGTGTGGGGGCGATCAGAAAAGTGCTGAGACTTATTTCAGACCGAAGAGGAGGATGGTGGTAAATTATGTGTCCGGTGCTGGGCAGTGATGGTTTGTGTGGTCGCTGGTCTCCAAACGGAACACGCGGAGAGCCCCAAGTTCACCTCCACGTGGGACGCGGCAGGAGGACGCGTGTCCCCACCCTGCTGCGGGGAGAACAGCCTCAGACCCCCACCCCAGCCCCTGGCGCTGAGGAAGTGCGAGCACGGTGGTGGTGAGCGATGAATGACCAGGCTCCGTGTCTCTCTCCCACCGGTGGGTGACACGGAGGTCCGAAGTGGTCCGGATGTTCTAACATTTGCTAACTTAGGGAGGGGCTTGAGAGAAGGCACAGTGAGAGCCGCCGCCTTTTGTGATCTTTCATTTTGCAAATATGTATCCAATTCTCACCGTGAGCCTGGCTGGCGTGGTGGTAGGGCTTCATACTTGGCTTAACTTCTACTTTTCTTCTAGATGGATGTTAAACTGAGCTCAGCCACAGAGTTTTAACTCAGAGATCTGAAAGGGACTTGAATCAGCTGGATTTGTAGGCAAGGGAAAAGTGTTTTTTAAAAACTCTTAAGAGATGAGTCTGCCGAGGGACAGACATATTCTGAGTCTGCAGTTGTAATCAAACATGACCTTCCCCGTGAGAAAAAGTGTTTCTCTAGATGGGCTTCTGCTGTGCTTTATGCAAACTTTTTTTTTTATATTGCTTGACTCTGACCTCCCCAAGGGCAGGGACTGAGCCTCGTTTATTTTTATGTCTCCAGTGCTTGCCATAGGTTTTTGAAGCTCTATTTTTAACTAATAAGTAGTAGCAAAGAAATATATGTCATTCCCAAGTCGTCTGTCAATTTGTGAACAGTTGGTAAACTAGTCTATTACTATTCTGAATTTAGAAACTCGCCTGATAAAAGCTTAAAGTTGTTTTACAATCTGATTACATTAATGACATGAATTTTTGAAGTTCAGAGACTCTTAAAAAAATATCTTTCATTGATTTCAGAGAGAAAGAGAGAGGGATAGATAGAAACATCAAAATGAAAGAGAATCATTGATCGGCTGCCTCCTGCATCCCCCCTACTGGGGATCAAGCCCTCAACCCAGGCATGTGCCCTTGGCCAGAATGGAATCTAGGACCCTTCAGTCTGCAGGTGGATTCTCTGTCCACTGAGCCAAACGGGCCAGGGCTGAAGTTCAGAGATCTTGATGACATAATTTACTAACTAAACATTAGGATAGGAACCATTACTTATAGAACCCAAAAGAAAGTTAGTCGTATGGGGATTTTATTTAGTATCAACAGAGGAAGGAAGGCAGACAACCAGAGAAATGAATTTGATGTAATATTGTGCTGGAAGAACCATACAGGCAGGAGAAGCAGCTGACATTAGATAGCTAAAAGTGGTAGATGCAGAAAAGTCCCATGCATTTACTATTAAAAAATCTAGAAAGAATCTTGTGAAATGTCTTTGGAATATAAAGGACATAATTAAAATGTGTGTATGTACCCAGTTCTAAAATGTTAGGATTAATTTAGAATTGATATTATAATTAGGTATCAGATGGACCTTTTTGTTGTGAGGGGCAAAGGGACTTTGATCTGAATCTAGAACCCACGTGTGGCAGTATAAAAAAGAGCGATTGTGTGCATGTTCTAGTACCGCGCTTCCCCTAAAATAAGACATCCTCCAAAAATAAGACCTAGCGCATGGAAAGATAAGACATCCCCTGAAAATAAGACCTAGCGCATCTTTGGGAGCAAAAATTAATATAAGACACTGTCTTATTTTCGGGGAAACAGGGTAGTTGTGATACAGTTTTCTATACTCTCATCTCTCAACAAGTTTAATGTGGGACTGAGGTAAACTTCATTTTTTAAAAACAATTCTTTTTATTTGTATGTACTGTTTGATGAAACACTTTATATCTTTAGACTGAAAATAGTATATGATTAAAAATGTACTACTTAGCCAAAACCGGTTTGGCTTAGTGGTAGAGCGTCGGTCTGTGGACTGAAAGGTTCCGGGTTCGATTCTGGTCAAGGGCCTGTACCTTGGTTGTGGGCACATCCCTGGTAGGAGGTGTGCAAGAGGCAGCTGGTCGATGTTTCTTCTCATCGACGTTTCTAGCTCTCTATCTCTCTCCCTTCCTCTCTGTAAAAAAATCAATAAAATATATATATTTTTAAATGTACTACTTAGCCCTGACCGGTTTGGCTCCATAAATAGAGCATTAGCCTGCGGACTCAAGGGTCCCAAGTTCGATTCTGGTCAAGGGCATGTACTTTGGTTGCAGGCACATACTCAGTGGGGGAGTGTGCAGATACATCTCACCTGATCGATGTTTCTCTCTCATCTCTATCCTTTTTCCTTTCTCTCTGTAAAAAATTAATAAAATATATTTTAAAAAAATATATATATATCACTGAAAGGATTAGGGTTATAGAAAGCGCCATGGGTAGCAGAAAACTCTGGGTAGTTACATTCCAACATTTTAAGATTTTCTAGAGTTGCAGTGTTTAATATCTTGGCTGCTAATTACATCTGGATAAATTAAAACTTAAACTAATTAAAACTTAATAAAATTAAAAATGCATTTCCTCAGTCTCAAGTAGCCAGAGTTTGGTTTTACTTCTAGATGCTTTTTGTTAATATATATGAGATTTAGATGAAAAGTCATAGGGCAAGAAATGTCTTTTTATTAATGTTTTCTCTTTCCAGTGGCTTCCAATGTTGTGCTTGCTACAGATTTTACTTAGATGACATTCTCTAAAAATGATTATAATATTGTAATGCATAGCAAAAAAAAAATGTTAGCCTTAAAATACTACTCTTGTTATGAATAAAGATACCTAGTTACATGGAAAATACTACAATTGAAAGACCAAAGATCTTGTCAGAATTGGCCTACTTTTGGAAATAGCGATTAGGTGAGATTTATTTTTTAGAGCTTAGATGCAGAGCTCATTTTTATAGTGAGGGGATAGGCCTATGAAGAGATGAGTAACTTGCCTAGGGTTACACACCACATTGTAATAGCGTCTGGCCTGAAATCCAAAATTGTTTACTATAATAAAATTTTACCCTTATAAACAGTGATACTAGTAAGACAATTTTAACCTTGGGTATTTAATAAATATTTTATTTTATTTTTAATATTTTTATTGACTTTAGAGTGGAAGGGAGAGAGAGAAACATCAATGATGAGAGAGAATCATTGATTGCCTACCTTCTGCACGTCCCACACTGGGGATCAAGCCCAGAACTCAGGATGTGCCCTTGACCAGTATCGAACCCTGGACGTTTCAGTCTGAAGGACAACATTCTATCCACAGGGACAAATCGGCTAGGACAGTGGTAGGCAAACACATTAGTCAACAGAGCCAAATATCAACAGTACAACGGTTGAAATTTCTTTTGTGAGCCAAATTTTTTAAACGTAAACTTCTAACACCACTTCTTCAAAATAGACTCTCCCAGGCCATGGTATTTTGTGGAAGAGCCACACTCAAGGGGCCAAAGAGCCACATGTGGCTCACGAGCTGCAGTTAGCCAACACGGGGCTAGGGCTTTAATAAATATTTTAAATGGATTGAGGCAAACTTTCTGTCTGAAAAGGTAGGCTTTCCTGTGTGGAATTCTAGAGTAGTTCAACAGGTTCAGAAGGATGGGTCAGAGACCTTGGCCTTTGGCTCACGGCCAGCATAAACCCACCTGATAAAAGTTGGGGTCACTGCCTAGACCTGTGATTCCCCTGGTTACTACCTAGACCAGCCTTCTAGAGAGAGCGGAAGGTAGAGACACCCTTACAGAAAGATGGCTGCTGACTACTTTCTCCCCTTAGCTGCCAAAAGATGTGGCCTCATTATGCTGATTGAGATCAGAACCAAGGAGAGTCTGAAGGTTATAAAACATTCCTTTAAAGCAAGCATGTCAAACTCAAAGGCTAACGCGGCCAAATATCGATAAGTAAGGTTCACGTTTATGTGGGCCGCAAAAAAACGCAAAAGCTTCAATTTTATAGAAACATAGGTTTATTTCGATAGAGACATGCTGAATACCAAGGACTGAAATAAATGAGTAATCGTTAACATAAAATAGAACATTTTATTTATTTATTTTTTTAAAATATATTTAATTGATTTTGTACAGAGAGGAAAGGAGAGAGATAGAGAGAAACATCGATGAGAGAGAGTCATCAATCAGCTGCCTCTTGCACACCCCCTACTGAGGATATGCCCGCAACCAAGGTACATGCCCTTGACCGGAATCAAACCCGGGACCCTTCAGTCCCCAAGCCGACGCTCTATCCATTGAGCCAAATCGGTCTCGGCAAAATAGAACATTTTAATAAAAATATTTTTTATTAAACATTAACTTACCAGACACTGAATTACTGCACAAATTAATAAGTATAATGCAAATAAACCCTTTTTTTTCTTTCTCCAAAAGTGAAAGATTTCCTGTTGTGCGCACTAAACAAGTCAGTACAAGACTACTAATGACGTGGCATTTCGGCTACTAAAATATTAGCTGCTAGTATTAGTAGAGAAAAATGGTGTGCCTATGCATATGGCGTTGAAGGAAAATGAATGCAACACGATTATAGTAATCAGGCATTAGTGAACGTTGTAGTTTGTTACTAATAACTAGTAGCCCTGTGCACTAATCTGTGTGCCAGTAGCTCGCTGCCACCCTCTAGTAGCTCCCTCTACCCCCATAGCTTGCTACTCTGCCTCCTCCTGTA